TGTGATTAGTCAATTTCTTAAGGCTTAGGGCTTAAATCTCTATTGTAGACTGGGACTTGGCTAGAAACATAAAAAGAACAGACCTGAGGTGGCAGCAATGAGGGATTCGCAGTTACGCGCACGCGCACAAGGACCCCTGTCCGGCGACGTTGGAGCGCTTCCTTTTCATGTTCACGTGTGCTTGAGCGTGTACGGTGCCGCGGTAAATAAACTACGAATCGCAGGTAATCTTTCGCGGTGATATCCATCGAGTTCGCATAAACGCGACGTGCGGCACGTCGAGTCTATTCGCGTGTCCTGGTGATCGTATTTGCCGAACGGCGCGAAGCGTACGTCAGATATCGGGACGCGAAGTGGACCGGTCGTCTACCTTGGTAGCGAACCCTCGTTCGCTTCGTGCACAGCTGTTTTCCTCGTAAAATCGCGAAGCGTGTCTCGCGAACACGGGCGTCGCAGTCGAGCCAAGGGTCTTACGAAATTTACATCCCTCGCGTGTCGCGCGACAACTAATTCGTATATGTTTACCGTGTCATTCACGAAGGTTAGGTTAGGTTGGATCTCGTTGTAGAAACGCGCAACCGGTGCGATGTCTAAATTTGTGTAATCTCTAACCGTGCGTTACGGTTATTTTACACCGTGGCCGTGCAATAATAAAGGACTCTGCACGTAAAAAAGTGTTAACCGTAATTTTACTCCGTGCAGCCCAACTAAAATTCCGTAACCTACGGAATTTTACTTGGATTGCTCCATTTGTCCGTACGTGTTGAAAACGACGATTACGGACTAAAATTACGGTTACGGTTAACACTTTTTTACGTGCGAAGGCCTTGAGGGCCTGAACGGAACGGCGATCTTGTGCTCGTTAACAGAGAGTTATTGTGCATCGCTTCAGGATAAAGACTTGGGCCTATTCTGAATCCTCCTTTATCGAAAAAAGCGCCTCTAAAATTGGCTAGTCAGTGGCTAATCAGAAAATTTATTAGCCACTTTTAGAGGCGCTGTTATCGATAAAGGAGGGTTCAGAGTACGGGTCATTGTTTTGAGAGTCCAAGACAGCCATTCTGCTAAGGTCCCAAGTGGTAGTAGCGCGACACCCTTGGAAAGTTGAGATTTCTGTAGAGCGTACAGTAATACATGTTTCAGGGGACGATGCGCGCGTAAATGTGCATACGTATTTGATGCTCACACGACATTCGCTTTTCCAGCCATGGTGCGTATGAACGTTCTCAGCGACGCCCTAAAGTCGATCAACAATGCCGAGAAGCGCGGGAAGCGGCAGGTGCTGTTGAGACCCTGTTCCAAGGTGATCGTCAAGTTCTTGACTGTCATGATGAAGCATGGTGAGTGCAATTTGTATTACGTTCAATGTGTACGCTACTTCCTCGACGTCCACGCGCATGAGATGTACAATTTCTAGAGACGTTGCTTCTATGTTTTGTGGAAGTAACGTGGAATTTAACGCTTTCCTCTTGGCAAGCCAGAACAATAGATTTGAACGTAGGTCTCTGTTGCGCGCAGGGTACATCGGAGAGTTCGAGATCGTGGACGACCACCGTAGCGGCAAGGTGGTGGTGAACCTTACCGGGAGATTAAACAAATGCGGTGTGATTTCACCTAGATTCGACGTACCTATCAACGACATCGAGAAGTGGACCAACAACCTCTTGCCTTCTCGACAATTTGGGTGAGCGCCGCGAGTGACAGTATGCGAGGGATCTCCTGCATTTACCTTGTGAATTAAAGAATTATTTTGCCTGCGTTTGTCTCGGTGAATTGGATAAAACAAATTACTCGTACAGTAATCCTGGAGCCCGTACTGGACTACGGATTGAGATTAGATTGAAATTTGACCAGTTGGAGTGAAAGTCACTAAGCTTGAGATTGGCAAACTTTACTCCGATTGGCGAGATTTCAATCTAATCTCAAGCTCGATAGTCTGGTACGGGCTTTGAAGGGAAATGCCACTCTAGCGCCAGGTTGAAAATTGAAGGAGAAATCTTTCCGCCCGCGGAAAGTAACGGGCTTCCTTCGCCGAGCTTTGACGCCGTTTTATTTAAAAGAAATTGAAAAGAATTTCTGAACACATTTCAAAGTGTGTACACTAAAGGCCTTAAAACAGATTTCATATTCCATTCATTATATTTCCATAAAAGACAATTTTTCCGGGCGCTAGAGTGGCATTGCCCTTTAAAAAGCGATCTTTCAAATGCACCTTATTAAACTTTCTTCTTATTCGTTATACAGAATGTGTATTTCGAGTAGACATTCTTATTTTTCTTCTCATTGTATAATGAACGAAGAAACTTCAGTAAAAATGTGTACTTGAAGGATCGCTTGGCACGAGCAAAAAATATACAGCTCTAAGATTAGCGCTCGTTACACGGCGCGATATTTCAACGCACACGTCTTGATAATCCCAATTTTCGGGGAAACAATTGCGCAATATACTCATTCACTCGTGTTTCTGTCTCAGATATGTCGTTCTGACAACTAGCGGGGGAATTATGGACCACGAGGAAGCCAGGAGGAAGCATCTTGGTGGGAAAATTCTGGGATTTTTCTTCTAACTTTTTTTAGTTAAGTAAATAAAAATGTAAGAACACAAGGATGTACGTCTACGAGCGATTCTTCGACGAAAACCGAAATAACCACCGTACTTTTCACCCCGTAATTCCGCGGCAGTTTGCGCAGCACGTGTTCAAAACGAGTTCAAGTGGGTTTCGGCGGCGTTTCTCTCACTCGAGGGCTCCTCCCTCGTTCTTTAGCGTTGATCCGAGGGTTGCAGCTGGACCGACTTGCCTCGCTCGTCTTATCACGTCCCTAGAAAATCGCTCTGTAATCGTCACGTGTACACGCATCGCGATTACACGAGGGAAGATGTTGATCTACCGGGAGGAAAAGGGAGGAGGAGAATCGACGAGGCCGTCGCGGGTCAAGATGCGTCTGTCCAGGAGTCGAGTGAGATGCTCGTAGGGATCGTCTGGTCGGCGCAGCAGGAGCTCGCCGAGCAGGGAATCCACGATGTCGCGAATCCCTTTTCGTTCCAGATACAACACCGCCTCTCGCTCCCGCGACGCGTATCGGTGGGCGTCGGTTTCGGGACGCGCGTCGCATCTCGTTCCTCGTCGCTTCGAAGGCGAGTCCGAGCGATCCTCCATTCTCTGTCTCAGCTCTTCGTCGCCATGGAGTTGATTCCTAGCTTCGAGTAATCGAGAGAGGTAGAGGCGAGAGGCACCTGGAAACTTTTTTACGATCGTCCAATGAGGTGGCAGGATCGTTGCCCTCTTGTCCCTCCGTTCCGGTTGATTTGGTTTTGAATAAAATGCAAAAGTTGAAACTGGGCTGCCGACCTCCGTGGAGAAATACATTTCTCTACTCCACACTGGACTCGAGCTAGGGTTCGATCATGAATATCTTGCGCGAACTCGTGGAAAAAAAGATAAATTTCACCGACGAATTCAATATTTGTTGCTAACATCGAGAGAGAAATTGAACGCCTTCGGATTTTGAATAGTAGAGCAAGTTTGTTCTTTTTATAGCTGAACTGCAATATCGAAAACTTGCGAACAAACATGACAGCGCATCTTTGCGAAGGCGAACGGCTTATTCTGTAAACAAGAATAGTACTGCAAATTGACTCGTTAGGAAAATAGTTACTCTTATCGCTGCCGTGGACTTCAGGAAACATCAGTTTAATTTAAAAGCAGTAAGTGCGCGTGTAGAAAAAAGTATGCGAGGTTGCTTACATTTTTTCACCAATTAATATTCGAGTTAGAACAATCTAATTAAGTCGGCGAGCGTTATTTAATCACCGAATTAGCGCTTGTAGCCGGTTCCGCGGTAAAGAACGGACCCGCGGAGCAACAAATTCCCGAGATCAAACGATTCTTGGGCACGGAAGAAATCTACTGTACCGACGCCGCCGCGGAGTCCCGTTGGTCAAGGACGTCGCGTTCGAGCGGCGGGGACGGGAGTAGTTTTCCACTCGGCGTCCCTCTCCTTGGGCTCCTGATTATTCTGTCGTCTCATCGTCCTGCGATCTTCATTGGCAACTTGACGTTGATCGACGTTGATCTCTAAGACACACTCGTGCAGGTCCGTGGCCATGGCGTTGTCGAGAATCGGCGGTGCGGAGGTGCTGAACGCTCTGACCCGCGTCTCGCGCCCAGGTACGAATCGCAAACGCATATTCCTATTGTCCCGCTCCATTTTCACATTCCGCAGGAACGCGTGCAATATTGCGGAGACTGCGGTGCACTGCCGTGTCTCTGCGTTTTGTCTTTTTGCAGCTTGAGACATTGTCAACCCAGCTGGGAAATTTTATTGAATTCGTTTCAACGTTTCGACCTTACCTCAGGTCCTTTTCAAGTGACAATACAGATAAGAAGACAAAAATTCGTAGACAAGCGAGTTATCGTCATCCGCGATTGTATCGTTACTTGAAAAGGACCTGAAATAAGGTCGAAACGTTGTAACGAATTCAACAAAATTTGCCAGCTGGGTTGACCAACGAGCTCACTGTTTTAAAATCTAACTCCTTTCCATTCTATTTCTCTTAAGGTACTCGTGGTTATTAAATAGAATGTGACTTGATTATATAATTAAATATACCAAAGTTAAAATAAGAGACATAATCATTAATCTGTTAACTTGTAAATTCCTGACTTTCAACACTTGAGCATAAGTTAGCTGTTTCTATAGTCTTCGTTGTCTCTGCCATTTAACTCTGCGCTCTCCATTCCTCTCCTTTTCCCTGGTCTTGTTACACCGTTTTCTTATCTTGTCTTTCGTGCAGGACAAAATAATACACTCCTAACGTGACACGCTACGTTACGTAACATATTAACATAATCTTTCAATTGCAGCATTCTTGGAGATGCAGTGCGCGACTCCAGCGGCAGCTCACCGCAAGCAGCAGCCGCTGCACCTGACCAGCGTGCGTTGCTACCCGGACCCGCCGGCCCTCGCTCTGCCGAGTAACGTCTGCGATATCTTCGCCAACGAGACCGGGCGCTTCGCGCCGGAGCGCGCGCGCGACATCGCCCTGTACGCCGAGAACGGCGGCACCGCCAGCGCCGCGGTGAACGGCTCCGGGTTCCCCACGATCCGCGACGACAGCCACGTGGACTCGTACGACTGCTTCGGCGCGGTCAGCCTGAGCGGCACGATGCAGAGCAACGTGCCGAAGCCGTACTCCTCGTGCGGCAAGTCCACGCACCTCAACATGCCCGGCGGGCAGTGGTCCCGCGACGGCAAGTACATCGCCGAGGACATGCAGCGCTCCCACTACCGCAAGTTGTCGTGTAAGAACGACCTTTGAGTGGATTCTGGAGGGTAGAGGTGCTTTCCTCGTCTTTGCTTTCCCTACGATTCGCATACTTTCGCGTCCCCACTGTTCTCCGAATCTCAACACAATACTTCTTCTCGGGAAGAATGTCTAATCAATTGTGGAATACACCAAGTCACCCGAGTATCAATCAAATTAAAGTAATTAAATAAGATTTATAGACTTGATAATTCGCTGTGTTTCAAAGATAGCATCCCAAAAAGTTCATACTTTTCCACTGCAATTTAAGGTAACAAAAATTTACAAAAGAACTTTGTCCCCTTTCTACATTGCGTCAATGTTGTATCGATATTAGCAACATTGGATAGCCCGCAAAAGCTCCGTTGAAGATTTTTATACGCTTGAGGATTTGCAGAATTCTCTTGAGCTGGATCTTCAAGATAGATAAGAACTGAGCGAGCTTTTGTGGCCGTCCGAAATTCACATTGGGCAAATTATGTGTCGCTCAGGTACCGCAACTAACGCCTTCATAACGAGCCCGCTTTTACGAGCGACATATTGGCCAATTTATACCGTCAGAATGAGCTACTCAACCGACACCTCCAAGGCGTCTGAGAAGGTTCAGGCCACGGTGCCGGTGCCCGCAATGTCGCAGAAGGAAAGATTTCGTCTAGTGTTGAGGGATTACGGAGGCATCCTTGTCGCCATTCATATTACTATATCGCTGATAAGCCTCGGTACTTGTTACGTGGTGGTCGTTAGGTCAGTCCTACTCTCGGGGTTTGTCTAAAAATCTCTTCTAGCTGAAACGTCTAACATCGAATACTTAATATATGTATATATAACCGAGATCCTTGCGTACAATCCAAGACCGCGTATCAAGAGAGGAAATATTTGAGCGAGTCATTTTAACAAATGACAAGCTAAAATTTTCCAAGCGTGGTTTTGGTACGCTATGTACGGTTTTTCCGTATCTTTCACATTTTTGGAGATATTTGCGTGGATCATTTAAAATGAGACAACCTGTATAACTAGCTTTCACGGTTCGGCTTTAATGTATTAATTTTTGTACATACTAATTTTTCGTACGACACGACGACCCTCGGAATAAAATGACCGACGGAGAAAGAGCTTCAGTTTTTCTTGGCTCTTATATTTTTCTGTATCAAGCATTGAATTGTGTCATTTTATTTTTCCGAGGCTCGTCCCGCGGATATTTGTCACAATCTGTGTTTTTCCAGTAACTTGAAACTCTTCATTTCAGTGGGATTGATGTAACGCCGTTCGTGCAAAAGTTGACGAGCGGAAACGAGCAGATAGAGAACGTGTTGAAAGTCTCGACGGACTTTGTAATAGCGTACACAGTTCACAAACTGCTCGCGCCTGTTCGAATAGGGATATCCTTAGCTGTGACTCCGCCGCTTGTACGACGTCTGAGGAAGATGGGCTTGCTTAAGATGCCGAAACGGAAACCACCACCGCCAACGACTCCATAGGAGAACCAAGACAATTATTTCATTTATAAAAAGATCCAAGCGTTGTATTTCGATGAGAGACTAACAACAATGGAACACTTAAATGCGGTGACAGCGCTGCGGGGAGAAATTAAATGTTGCAAAAAAATAAGATTCTTCAACGAGAGCAAGGTACAATCCCATTTGTAAATGATACCTGTTGTACGTACAGAATCGATTTGTACAACTTGTATAAATTTAAATCGATAGTTTTGATACTACTGGCTCAATTGATATGTACATAGGCAAGACTGTTATCTTCTTCCGTGCGACTCGACAAGCTTGAGGATTTAATATAATTTTAATTTACGTTAAAATTATAATATATAAAAGGTGCAGGCATTTATATTTGCGTTATCAGTTTTATGAGGAAGTTATTACCTGTAAATAAACGTTACGCAGAGACAAAACGAGTCGGCTTCACATATGCACCTCTCGTTTATTATATAAAGAATATAGCGATATCATAAAATTTACATAGTATCTCGCGTACGACGAGGGCCCCTCGTACGCCTCGCGCGTGCCATAATACATATATCGCGCGTTCGCGGTGTTTATTGCATTCGCAGCACAGAATTTTCGTAGACAAAAGCTCGGCAATTTCAGCTGGACGAATTCGCGGTTCGTTCGCATAAAAGTTTGACCATGCACAACACGTCGATGTGTATATATATGTACAGAAGTCTTTAAAAATACATTATAATACATAGGGAAAATAAGGAATAAAAAAAGGTGTATATAATTATATACAATCTGGTGCGGACCTAAAGTAGCACACTTCTTATAAGTAAATCTTACAAGTTAATCTCGTTGAGATTCACGTGTTCCCCGACATTACGGTTTAAATTATGATACGTTCGTCGCGCAGAAAATGAATCCTTAACAAGTGTAGGACGCGAAAGAAAAACGTACAGCCGACCATCGGGTATCATCAGATCCTTTTTTTATGTCCCTCAATACCCAGGCCCGTATTCTGAACCCTCTCTTGTCGATAAAAGCGTTTTATCTCTAAAAGTGGCTAATAAGCCTTCCGATTGGCCACTTTTACGGGCACTTTTATCGATAAAAGAGGATTCAGGATACGGGCCTTGGTAAAAATTAAGCGTAACGTACTTGTAGTCCCCATCGGTGATATTACGATGGGAAGATTCGGCAGTGTGTGAAGGTATAATCGTCAAGATGTTTAGATTTTTTTTTATCCTTACAATGATTTCGGTTGGATGTATCAGCGCGCACCGATAGATAAATTACAGTTTACTATATAATAATCTATTTAATTAAGTGTAAAAGCATGATGCAAGTGTCGAAGCTGCGTTCTAGCAAGCAACGTGGTAATTTGTGCTTGAGCCGCACAGTGCGTCCGATCGTCTACTACGCATACGTCGTTATATCAGAATCTTTAACGTGCATCAATACGCGCTGGTATACACAACGGAATTTACTATTAAAAGTCTTAATTCTTAGATTATATCGGATCCTTATATCCGACTAGCTGCTTTAAAAACTTTGAACACTTGATTTGTCTGCTATAGCATTTGAGCATTTTCCAACTTAAACATAGGGACTTGAGTCGTTCGTAAAAAGAGATGAGATTACGCTAATAAATGAACGTGTATCGTCTAATAACTAGTACTTTCGAACGCATCAACATTCAGTCCAGACACTTTACAGAGTCCTAGTTCATTACATAGAAATGCGAGAGATAAAAAAATTATTTGGCACACACACAGAGAGCGACGAATATTAACGTACCTTAAATTAGTCGTGAAATAAACATAATGCGAAGAGCTATTGTAACTCTGACTCAGGTTGATTTGATTGGCATAAATTGAAAATTCTCAAAAACTAGAATGTAAAATGACGAAATAACAATGAATAATGAGTATGAAATGATTGAATGTGTATAAATAAATTCGAGAAGTCGTAAAAAATGTAGCTGTGTGCCGATGTCGCACGATAAATTAACATTTTCATAAGCTAATTGCCATCCAATTTGAATGAAAAATACGTTTTAATTGCGTATTTTGCACCATGCAAAACACTAGGACACCGAGAACTCCCGGAAATCCCTGGCTAGCGACGTCGTGCGACTGTTTTAAGCTTCGTCTACAATAATCGCAGTTGCAACTCTGCGACCATTGTAGAGGCTTCACTTGATGAACCTATACATTTTAGCATCATTACGAAAGTCACGAGTATTGCAGGCGTTTTCTTTGTCGGAAAATTATCTTACCTTCCTAACTGCACATTAAGTTACAAAGATCTACGAGGTTCAAGAAACGTACGTAACCGTAAAATATTGAGAAAGAGAACGTTGGTCTGTTCTCATCTAATGTCTTCCAATATTAGGAAAAAAAAATAATATGTAGATCTTCGTAAACAAATGTAGCTGCGCGGCCTTAAACGTAGGCCTCGGTGCGATGACCTTGTATGTGATGGAAGAACTGCTGCCAGCTGGTAAGCGTCTTCTTGGACCACACCCAGAAGCTGCTGGTAATGCCGACGATCATCGCCATGAGGTACTTGATCATGAAGATCTCGAAGTCGGGTCTACGGCCAAGATCGCGGGTGCCGATAGGGCACGGCAGCGAGTAGAGCAACTGCAGACTCGGCCGCGAGCACATCTCCATGTTCCACGTGAGCATCCATTGGTCGAAGTACGCCTGCTCGTAGAAGAGGCAGGCGATCACGACCAGGGCAGGTACGATGTAGAGCACGGAAAAGATGCCGATGCGAATCATGAGTTTCTCGAGCTTGTCAGTCTTCGTGCCGTCGTGCTTCATCACCGTCCGGATGCGGAAGAGCGAGACGAAGCCTGCCAGTAGGAACACAGTGCCCAGCAAGAGATAAACGCACAGCGGTGCCAGCACGAAGCCCCGGAGAGCCTCCACGTTCCAAAGACCAACGTAGCAGACCCCGGACAGTATATCACCTGTAGATCAAATTATAGGAATATAATTTACAGACATAATTTTTAATATAAAAATAATGTGAGACAGTCTTCGTTTAACTTTGAAGAAGGATGTGAAAACAATTCTTGGAGTAATTTCTATTTGCGCAATAATATACTTGTAATCAAAAGAATATGATAAAGCGATTGTATTTTACGGCTGATATTTTCCCACGCAAAGCGTTATAATTTGTAACAACGTCAAATTTGGTTGACCGTATCTGGCAATTTTTATGTTTAGGACCCGCTACACTTCGACCATGGGTTTGTACACAAACTTTGTATAGTCAGATCGCTCGAAAAAGACCAAAACCCGTGGTCTGCTGTTGTCAATTATTGCTGGCGACCCTGAAGACAATTCTTGTTGGTTTATTATAATTTTTGTCGCGATTGTCCAGCTGCCCACCTTCCACTTTTCCCATCGCCAGGATAGTGACGGTCTTCACAGCCGGCGCGGCCCAGGCGGCCAGATGGAAGTACTGCGAGTTGGTCTCAATCGCCTCGTGGCCCCACTTTAATCCGGCCGCCAGGAACCACGTGAGGGTGAGGATGACCCACCAGATGCTCGACGCCATGCCGAAGAAATAGAGAATCATGAAGAGCACGGTGCACAATTCGTGCTTGGTGCCCTGAGTGATCGTAGAGGCCATCTGTACTGGCGCGTTCGCCGGCGACGGGAACGGATCCCTGCACGATATGGAGTTGCCTGCCGCCCAGCCGATCACGTAAGCCAGTGCCACCATCAGGTAACATACGGACAGGAAAATGATAGGCCTCTCGGGATACCTGTAACGCGAAATAGCTGTTAGAAACTCGGAGATCCGGAGACTTTTACCTAGTTTTTTCCAAGCGCTTGTAATTGTACTTTTTTTCATAATGTGCAGGGGACTTTCTGTAATATGCAATAACATTGGTAGCGACGACCCTTAGATTCTCCAGCAGGCTATCCTGTTTCGTCGATCCGTAAACTTTGAAGAAATTCTTTGTACATTTGGGACGACTTTAATTTATTTCCATAAGAAGTCAAAAGTAGAATCTGCCGCTTCTGTCGAATCCTTTTCGAGCCACCGAAAAAGTGCTCTTTTAAGTTTATTTCGAACAGATTTCGCCAATGATATTTATGAGATTATGATACAAACTGATTTTATTTGGCGTTTAACAATCTCTATTTACAAGCAGTAAAGTGCTGAAGGGGTGGCGCAACTTTTCTAATTTGCTAATACCATGATGTGCAGGCTCGTTACCAAACATCTAATACGTTTCGCAGGAGCGCAACGCAATTTATGTCCATCTCTCGGTTTGACTGGCTCCGTATCTTTTTCTAGTTTGGAAAATTGGCAAACGACCACAGTTGATCCGCATTGGCAAAAACGGGCATCAATCTCCGAGGGAGCGAGCTAAAGAAAAAAAAAGAGCCCCACCTAAATCTATCTGTGTCAATGAGGAACGTCAGGAACGTGAAGAAGCACGAAGCGGCGCAGATGGCGGCCCAAGTGCCGACCCACACCCTGGCGAACTTTCTCTGGCGCTCGGTGAAGAACATGCCGTCGCAGGGCGCGCCGCAATTCGGCTCCACCTTGTCGCCGACCTTAAGCGAGTAGCCCAGCCCCGGGGGAGCCTTGAACTGGACCGGGCAGACGAAGCCGAAGTCCCTGGCGCCCATGGCGAAGCCGTTGCCGCCGTAGGGCTTGAACCCCTCGTTCCAGGTCGGCTGGAACTCCGCCACCGGCATGCGGGGCGGTGGATAGACGGGGACGGCGGGTTCCTGGGGCGCGGTGGTCTCGTTGGTGCCGACGCAGAGCTCCGTGCCGTCGTTCTCCGGCATCTTGGAGCAGTCGAGGGCCTCCGGCCAGGCGAAGCCGAAGCTGTTCATCAGGCTCTCGCAGCCGGAGCGCGCGCTCTCGCAGAGCGACCGGCACGGCGGTATCGCCTTCTCGATGATGGTGCAGACCGGGGCGTACACGGTGCACAGGAAGAAGCGCAGATCCGGGCTGCACTTCATCTTCACCAGCGGCATGTACTGGTGCACCTCCTGGCCGGCGTCCTCCTGCTTCTGATGATTCATCAGGTTCGGCATGATCGTCTCGTTGTACGGGATGTTCATGCACAGGTTGATGGTGATGGGCTCGCAGCGGCCGTGATGAGCGAGGGGGTCGCCGCCGTTCGGGGTGGAGGAATGCGCGGCGGCGGCCGCCGCCGCGACGCCGGACAGGAGCAGGATCGTCGCCGCCCGCAGCATCCTGGCCTGCTCGTTTTGAGGGGACGGGCGCGCACACCGGGGGTGACACTCAGGACCGACGCATGCCGATGTTCACGCTCAGCGACCGCGCGACGGAGGCACGGGCGGAGGATGGCGATAATGAGGGGGTGAAGGTGGGCGGCGAGGGTGAGATGATGACCGGAGGAAGGTGATGGACGCGCTCGCGGAGCAACGGTGTAAACAGCTATGGCAGCCGTCTTCGCGACGGCTACGAATGGCGGCGGCGGGGGGAGGTTACGCGGGGAATCCTTGTCGCTCCGCGTGCCCGCGGCCAATAGGAGCGCCCGCTTCCCAGGGACATTTGCGGCCTGCGCGCGCACGCGCCGCGGTGAGGCGCGAAAGCGCGCCCCCGGCTTCCACTCTATAGGTCGTTTCGACTCCGCGGTCGTGGCGTTCCGACGGGTGATTTGAACGCGGGGACGGCGGGCGCTTCGCGAGAAGCGGCGACCATCGGCGACGGTCACGAGTGCCCGTGACCGAGCTCCGATTACCTTTATTAGCGATCAATTGGTTGGCGAACGATATCTGGACCGACTTGAACGCGAATGGAATTACTCGCTGCTCAAAGTCCGAGAGGGAAAATTGCATCGGCGAACTGTACGCCCGAATAGAGCACAGGTGATCGATTGTGAACTCGAAGAGGACTCGCTTCTTTAGATTCTTTACGAATTAGCGAGGTCTGTTCGAAACGAACTCGAGGGACCTTCACGTGACCTTCAAGTGATTGTCCAAGGTCAAGTCAGTGGCACCACTTTGAGTCTCCCTTCGAGCCAAGCGACTTTTGTTTGAAACGTTTTTCCGTATCTTTCATATTTTTGGAGATATTTGCGTGGAGACGGTGACACAGAACCGAATTCTTTTTCGACTTTTCAAGAATGTTTCTAGATTAGAACGAAAAGTGGAGAAAGAATTAATTTCATGGGCGGTTGAGAATTTTTGCGATTTCCACGATTGAATTGGTCGCCGTTTAATCGACTAAACCTTGATCGAAGTCACCCTGGGAGCAGTGTCGTATCTTCAAGTTTCTCTTCCGCGAGATTTCAGACGTTAATGCTAATAAAGTTTTCTCCTTCCGCAGACGAAGTCGGACGCACCGACGATTTTCGTCGACGGACTCGCAACCTGGGGATTGAAGCGGACAAAGGGTGGCGGATGGTCGGTGTCGAACAGACGGTGGACTCGATCGATCTCGATTTTGATTTTATTTCCTTCCTGACATGCAATGCGCAACACCTCCCGTTAGCCGACGATCGCAAAAGCTACAGTCTCTCTTCCTTCTCGCTCCTCTCTCTTTACTTTTTTTTTTCTTCGCGCTTACAGTACGTACGCGTGCATCGTATGTGCACTTTAGACGGGTCGCATTTGCGGGCGAACTCGCGCCTGCTGCGCTTTATTTACAACGCCAGTCGTTTACGCGAACCGCCGTATTTTCAATACCCGCCGGACCTCCCCGGGGATCCGGTCTGAGAACCCGACCAGGAGTCACTCGTTACGTCCAAAGTCCGTAACTTAATCGGCGACTAACTTGCCGAGCGGCACGACTTCGATAAGAGAATAGAATCGTCGATTCTTCGTCGTTTCAAGTCTGTTGCGTCACGGCAAAAGTAAGGATAAGATCCGGCGGCAAGAAATTGCGTAGTCGGAGATTTCGCGTCGTGCGATCGAGTTTGTTGCCGGTTGAACGTAATCGCCGATCAAGTTGGCCGGAACTTGATTGAAGTCAGTTTTTCGAGCGACGATCCATTCGGAAGCTGAATTCCCTAAAGGCTTCTATGATCCTTGGAGGCGGAAAATTTTTACGGATAAGATAAACACGATTAACGAAGCCTAATAAATAATAACGCATATACATTCAAATCTTGACTTGACATAATTAAAATACAGCGCGCTCGTTATTACTCATTAGGCTCCGTGACTCGTTAATTACATTTATCTCATAATTCTTCGTGAGCCTCCCGTTTACTACTGACGTTTAACGTAAAAAAATAACGATTCTCGATCACTCAGAAATATAATGATATTTTTATTGACGATAGCTGTGTAACATCTCGAGTACGAAGTCCTTTCGTCACCGAAGACGCCAAGCACAATTCCTCCGATAAATTTTGTTACATAAAAAATACCGCTCTATATTTTCTGTAGATTTTATCTAAAATTAAGAGGAAGAAAAAAGGAGGAGCGGAGTTCCCTCTATCTCGCGAGAGAGACGAGAACGTGCGACAAGATAGCAGCGGGTGTTGAAAATTAGCGTCTCGTTCGATAGTCGGTACAGTTTATTGAGGAGAAGTCGGCGCGCGAGCCGCCCGAATCGCGAATTACGCTTCGTGTTATCGTAAACAAATAAATAATTTATCTTCTCGCACGAATGTACTCCCGGCTCGCCGGCCAAGTCGCCACTTCGACTTGCGTGAGCTCAGCCTTCTTACGCCTTACGATTAGTATTATTTAACATTTAAGAGTCATTATGGAAGATTGAAGTGCACCGCCACAATCCCTCGCGCGTCTCCCTGCTTGATTAATCGTGTTCTCGCTGGTCGATCAATTAAATCTCACGCGGGAGGAACGTGTACTTAAGAACGTTATCGGAGGGGAAGTCTGTGTAAAATTAAACGCCTAATCTTGAATTTTCTTCCGCGTTTTAAGGGAAGAATTCGCCGGGTTGTTTTTTTTTTCAGAAAGAAACGCGACAAGAGAGGAAACGTCACGGGAATTCAATTCCTTGGTACGGATTCGAAATCGCTATTATTTACAGTGACGCGATATCATGGAAGACGACTGATATCACTTATGGAGAGTCCAAAATGTTATCGACGCCCGCGCGGGTCATCGACAAGAGCCGCGAGGCGCTACGCGATTTATGGGGAAGCACTGTTTTTAAGCTAACGAGGTTCGTCTCTAATCTTCTCTCTTTTTTCTCTCTACTTAGGATCGCTATTAATAACATCGCGCGATAGTAAACTGTAGTCGATCGCGAACCTTGTTATTGGCACAACGTTGAATTCCGGAAAGGATTGAACGCAACTCACCTGCGCCCTTCGCAGATATACGGCCCTAAAGTAGTACAAAATATTCCTTTCGCGGCTATTTATTATATACTGGATTTGATATATTTCTTAATGCGCACTCGTCGTCGGAACGCGTGGAGAATAATGACTAGAGGTCCGTTTATTCCGGCTAAACGATATTCCTTTCCAAACTCCTTGAAAGATTCTGGGAACGGCTCCTCGCGCGCGGGATTTATTCCTCGCGAGACCTGAAACCCGTGTACTTTTACGTCGCTAGTAATTTGCAGAAATTTCTCAACGCTCGTAAATTCAAATCTATATATGCAATCATTTACAGAGACGCAAGGACAAAGGGAGATCCTTCGGGGGGGGAAGACACGCTCGCGATCACGATTCTCGCAAAATCCCTCATTGGTAAGTTCTTTCAGCTATACCCGTTCTCGATTCGAATTCTTTTTGTGCTAAATGTACATTTCGTAAATTTCAGGACCGATCCTGCAGATTAATCAAGAGGGAGATAAGCACGAGACTGGGTTCCATTTCGAACCGGAGCGCTCCGGAGGATAATATCGTCCGCTGGTGCACACTCCACGCGGACTCGACGTCGCGGCCGCTACCTAGCCGTGCGTACAAACGCGGCCGTGTGATCTCGCGGAAGGGAATCGCGCGGACGCGTGTAACGCTAAAAAACGCGGCGCGGACACGGGCCACAGGATCGGTATGCAGCGCGTGCACTAGCGCGCGCGCGCGCGCTCTCTCTCTCTCTCTCTCTCTTTCTCTCTCTCTCTCTCATACACACCTGCGTCCACCTGTATGTACATGATTGCGTGTAATCATCCGGCGGACAAGGTCAGAGGAAACCCCCGTCGCCGCGATTACAATTACGGAATGATCGATGCGTTTTCACGCGTCGTCAAAGAAACGCGCGTGTCTGTATGCGTGGGAAATGTGTGAGTATCTCCGATCGTGTGTGTGTGTGTGTGTGTGTGTGTGTGTATTTTCTTTATCTCGTCCATTAGCACCGAACTTAAGCTAGTCGCGTGTAGGTGTGTGAGATTTTTACAGGCTGTCCTGAATTTTTTTTATTTACGGGGGACCCCCTATATATGTATATATTGCGCGATTCCTTTGGCGCGCAAGAGACAGGATTAATGAGGATTAAAGTACTTTCGAGATATTCGAAAAAATGGACAGACTTTCTTGGAATATTTCAGCGAGATTAATACACGAGTATAACGCGCCCGCCGCACGACCGGCCGATCAGTGCGCATTATACCATACTTATTCGTACGTCACGCGCGCCCGACCATAAAAGTCCACGTTCGAGGGAAATTCAGGTGCTTAAAAAAAATGGATAAAAGTGCATGAGAGTCGATCGAAATCGTAATAATTCGCGGTGAGCGATCCCCGAAATAATTTTCAACGGTAGCAGTTTAATGCAAGGAGGAGTCCGTAAAGTTAATCCTTGAGGAATCTTTTAGGATCTCAGGCAAATACTGAAGAATATCGTCATTGCACAAAAGCATCTACTGAAATTATAATCAATTTCTACCTCTTAGTCAGTTTTGTCGCCCCAAGGGCTCCCCTCGACAGTGGGCTTTTGCGATTAAGCGCACGCACAGATATATTCGTCTATCTATCTATCTATCTATTGTTCCGCTAGCGACACTAATAATCGTGTCGATCTAATTATCCGAGTGCAATAGCATGCGTGTCCCCACCTTCTGCGTGTTTTCACAGATATACTCCGGACACCCGGTATATTTGTGACGCAACCGGGAGAGCGCGTAATTGAGTGAGCGTAATTAACGTTAAACTTCGGTACCCGTATGTCGATAAGATTCCTTTTAATTTGCTCTGTATACCGCGATACATGCTGCGTATTATGTCACGCACAACATATACCGGATGTGTTTCATAAGAAAAAAAAACACGTTTAATTCACCTCGAATGGACAAATATAAGGAAAAGGAGTGAGAACAAGATCGGTCCCATTTTCTTCGCATGCGATTTTCTTCACAAGGTTGGTACCAAACAAAAGGTCTTATCAAGTTAATCGCAGATGTGTCAGTCTCAGAGTATACCTGTGTAACGTCACAGAGACATCGGGCTCCAAAAATTCCCAGGAAGTAAGCGATAAAGCCGTCTGGACAGACACCAA